CACCATTAAGTTTTTTTTCTTAATGTTTATTTTTTATTATTTTTTTGTTTGGATTAAAATTTTTAAAAAACAGCTTTATTGAGGTATAATTGGTATGCCCCAAACTGCACATATTTAATGTGTTCTGTTTGATGACTTTGGACTAGCATACACTTGTCAACGACTGTCAGCACAATTAAGGTAATAAACATCCATCACCTCCAAAAGCTTCCTCGTGCCCTGTGCTTTTGTTTTTGTGGTAAGAACACTTAACAGGAGACCTACTGTCTTGACAAATTTATGTGCACAATGCCGTGTTGTCAACCATGTCGCACAACAGCTCTCTAGAATGCTCATCTTGCATAACTGAAACTGTATCCATTGAACAGCACCTCCCCACTCCCTCTCTATCCTCTGGGAACCACCATTATCTATATCTATGTGTTGAATTATTCTAGATATCCTTGTATAAGTAGAATCACGTAGTATTTGTCCCTCTGACTGGCTGATTTCACTTAGCATAATCCCCTTCGGTTCATCCATGTTGTTCATGTGGTAGGATTTTTTTCTTTTTTAAGGGTGAATGATATGCCATTGTATGTATGTACTACATTTTTTGATCTGTTCATCCATGGATGCACATTTAGGTTGTTTGCACATCTTGGCTATTGTAAATAATGCTGCAGTGAGCATGAAGTTCTAAACTCATGCTTTAGCTCTCAAGACATTTAACTCTGTAAAAGACTGACCCTGACTTAACCAGTTCAGTATCCCACTGGATCTTTTTTCCCCTCCCTGTGAAACCTTCAAGCTCTTCACCTCCCTTCACATCACTGATATGATCGATCTCTTTGCTGTCTTCATCTTGGACACTGGTAGTAACTTCATTACCTATTAACTTCCTTTTCACTACTTCCAAACGGATTGGCTGGATCCTTCACTCTCTACTCCTTTAACTGTTCCGAAAAGACATCACCAAAACTTGTCACAGGTGAAAGAACTAGCCCACTCAAAATGTGGGTACTATTTGGTTCTAATTTTCAACTTCTTGTTTTATACCTAAAAGCAGCTGTTCCAGACTTTCTCCTTCAACCCGTCCCCTCTTCCTCCCACGTCAGATAGACAGCTTCTATGTCACAGCTGAGGAAGACTGGCAAGAGCACCCTTTCGTCACAATAATGACTGCACTGGCTTGTTTTCCTGTTCTCCATCCACGCAAGGCCTACTGTATCAGTCTAGATCCAGTTAGAAACCACACAGTAATTCAAACAAGAAAAGTTTAATATGAAGAATTACTAATTCTAACAGGGATTGGAGTAACAAGGGACTGGATAGTAAGAAGTAAAGAGAACTCTAAAAAATACAGGAATAGCAGATATGAGGAACAGCCACTACCTCTGGGGCTGAGGTAGAGTCCCCAACGCCTTTGCCCCCGGGCTGTGATCAAATCTTCCTGGGGGGGTCATAGCCGTACTTCACCAAAGTGCAAGGGAATCACTGTGATGATGCGCTGGCAGAACTTGCTGGAAATCCACCATCTTTCAAATGCAGACACTTAATTATGTGGTATTTTAAAATAACATTTATTAATATTGCCAAATATCCGATTTAACCAGAAAAGTCTTCACTGTAGCAGATAGGAGTATTGCAAAATTCTAATTTTTGCTTGAAAGCTCAAAGTTTTTCATTGGCAGCTAACACCGTCAGTTGAACTCGAAGTGACAGGCTCACTTTGTTGTTGTCAAGAAAATGTCGGCCAAGACCCACGTCTGAATGACCGTCGGTTCTCTGTTAGTAATTGTTTTGAGGAACAATAGTGCTCTAAGACAAATGCAGGTGGTTCAGCTCATACCTCACCCAGTTGCACAAGTGGTTTTCCTTGACAAAACCATTGTACTATGCTATGCAGCAGGAGATGCGCCTTTAAGGGCTACATCACAATTCAATAACAATAATTGTCACTGCTGCATCAAGGACATAATATTAAGAGCAACTGACTTTTTTTTTCTTTCCCTTACCATGAGTGCAAGGCCCAGCAGCACTGCTGGCTAGATTCATGCCGGAGTGCAGCAGGTCATCGCTTTTGTACTGTCATTGCAAACATCAATTCAGTGAAAAAAGACATCTTAATAGTCGTGACCTCACATACCTTTGAAAGTGTCTTGATGACCTGCACTGTCATTGCAAACATCAATTCAGTGAAAAAAGACAACATCTTAATAGTCATGACCTCACATACCCTTGAAAGTGTCTTGATGACCTGCGAGAGTCCACAGACTACACTTAAGGGAACTGCTGACATAGTGGAAAGAAAATATGTTTTGAAATCAGTGCTGGGTCCCCATGTAAACTGGAAGACAGGGTGAGTGTCTTCATTTGTAGAATGGGCCTAAACCATCTTCAGACTTACAACGAAAAGTCAAAATAATGCTTGCCCAGGGTCCTGCTCCAAATTTTTGGCTGAATTCGAATCCCCTTAATACATTTTCGCTTGTTAGAGACGACTTGTGTTGTATTTCATATCAGAGCTGCCGTGTTTAGACTTTTGTTACATCTTCAGGTAGGAGGAAGTCAGTCACCTAATTCTCATCAGTGATGCTTTTATTCTAGAAGGTTTGGAGATTTCTGCTAATAACAACATCCACCCATCATCTTCAAACTCCTAATACTCGAGTGGTACAGCTTTTACCCCAAGGCTCTAGCCATGATCCCCACTTTCGAAGAGGTTATATAAAGAAAATAACTCAGGTTTTTTGTTTTATTTTCAGTTAATGGGAGAAGTCATTAGGAAATGAACTAGTGAGGGGTTATAGGAAAAGAAATACAATAAAACTCCAGAAAAAAATGCATTTGCGACATAATGGGATTGGTTCTTGTCCTCTGCAGGACACTCTCTCAGGCATTTTGTTAACTTTGCAGTAATGCAACCCC